CCCCCGCGCACCACTTCCTCCCCAGGAGCCTTCCTAGCCCTAGTTTAGTGTCCACTGGTGAGAGTGGGCTTGGGGGAGGGGCGGGGTGATGTAGGGAGACTTTCCAGGGGAGGGGTGCAGTTGCACGACCGGAGGAGGAGGGGCTAGCGTGACGATTGAAAGGTGAGTTGGGAGCTGACCAAGAAGAAGGGTGGGTATAGTAACGAAGGAAGAAGAGGTGAGAACCCCTCCCCTCCGAGGGGGACCGCCCTAGATCCGTCTATGAGTGAAGAAGGTAGCCTTCCCAGCGAATGGCTGCTGTGAGTAGGTCTTATCACTTCAGTGTTTCTAAATTCCTCCATCCCTTATCAAATGCGAAAATAGAGTGGTGACTTTTCAGTTTGACATGAAATATGCATAATTTGAAGGCCTGGAAAAAAATCATGCTTTTTTTAGGTATGACACACAAAGTGAAACAGATGATGGTGCGGACACGATGGATAAAGTTCTGCGAAGGGAAGAACCAACTGTCATGAAATATCGCTCGCCGTAGTTGTTGTAATTTCATGTTTATCGAGGTTTTTGAGTTTTTGCTGTGTTCAAGAGCACTGATAATAATGGGATCAGGATTTATTAGATAGTTTGTTCAGTTGTCGCTTCGTCGCGATGTATATCGTTTGTTTAATTGTCGTTCCGTTGTGTTTTTTTATCGCATCTCTGCACCATCACCGTAGCTTGTGGCTTCCGGATATGCGCTGTAGACCGAACTTCTTCATCTGATGCTCATCATACTGTCGGTCTTGGTATTCTTCCTCTGCTTTTTCCGTTCTTCCGGGTACCCGGGCTTTTACAGCACTGCTACCTGTGCCGCCTTCGGCCCCCTGGATCTGCTTATGGCTTTATAAAGAACAAGGAATGACACTCATCGAAGCAGGGGCAGTAGTGAAGCTGCCTTGGAGAAGGTTTTGGGGAAAAGCGGTGAAAAAACTGTGTAGAAAGCCGGAAATTGTTCATCGTGAAAAGCTATCAAAAGTGACCATCGTAGCAGCATGCTTTGATTATTATGCGTTTTTTGCAGCAATGCAATGCGAAAAACGCATATTGACGAGAGGTTGTCTGTGTG